CACCACCACCACCATCACCACCACCACCAATGCTACAAAAAACAAAAAAGAAAATAAGTCACAACCCCTTCAGATAAGCTTTCTTTCCAGTCGCTGTATGTATACAAAGATATTCTCTATGTTTTGTAAGTAAAAACAAAAAGAAAACTTTTCTTTTGTTTTTTACACATAAGAAACAGTATTGAAAAATCCCACACTATGGTTCATAGGGTGGAGAAGGAGGAGTTGTCTCCACTCCAAAAGAAAAACAAAGTTTTATACCTTACACCAAGTGTAGATCATTTACGGGATTGGTGCTGATTGAAAGAACAAAACAAAACAAAACAAAACAAACAAACACAAACAAACAAACAAAAAAACCTTCAACTGCCTTATGCCCTTAGGTGCTGAGTTTCATTAAGTACTGTCACGTTTTCTCATGCAAAACTCTCTGGTGATTTTTGCACCAGGAGAGGGAAAATTAAACAATCAAATGAAACAAATCTAGAAACAAAACAAAAACCAACCAACAAAAAAACCACAAAGCAATCATTCTTCCTATCTGATTATTTGTATTGAACAAAACAAATTTACCAAAAGCAAAGGCATAAAAACCCCTCCTTCTTTTTGGTTTCCCTCCCAGTCTCCTGTCCTTGCCCCTAATTAATCAGCGCCTTCTAGGAGCCAAAGTCTGGCTGTTTGAAACTCAAATGGCTGGAGAAGCTACTTGAAGGTTGACTATGTGCCATTTTAGCATTCACCCACTGAGAATCACATTTGTTTCCTGGTGTAAAGCAACACAGAACAAAACAAAAAGCCACCCCAATAATTCTGTAAGAACAGGAAATTCTAAAGCAAATTAAAGGAGATTTCCATTTCTGTAATCAAAGAACATCAGTAATAATAAAACTCAGCATAGTAGCAAAAAGAATGACATCAATTTAAAGGCACAATACTTAATCAGTGACCGGCAAAAAATGATTTGTTCTGTCATTTTAAGGCCGTGAAAGGTATACATTTATCACATGTGATATTGTGTAAGGCCTCTTCTGTTTCCATTTGGTGGGAAGCCTTAAATTGATCTGGAAAGAATTCTTCATTTTTCATTTGTGCTTTTTAAAAATATTAACAAAAGAGGAAAATTAGAATATAAAAAAAAAAGTCAAATTGTAATAACTGACCCATTTCAAAGACTGTTTGGTGCTTCTGTCTTTCACCATTGTGGTTGGCTGAAAGTCATTCAGCTCACTTGGTGCATCTGGGTTGAGTGGGAAATTTTGTGTGTGTAGTGAGTGTGTGTGTGTGTGTGTGTGTGTGTGCATGTGTGTGTGTGTGCCCATAGCACACGTCTATGTGTGTGTATGTGTCTGCTGCAAAGTCTTGCCAGAAATGTAGAAAACTGATACAAGACAGACTCTGGGTATGGCTGAGGTGGAGTAAAAGGGTGCTGGGGAGTGGGAGCAGGGACAAGGGAATGGTGCTTGAATATCAGCCCCTGTCTGGATGGCGAGACTCATACCAGCAGCAATACTCTGGGTCTTAGAGGCACGTCATTTGGGTGAAGATGTGATTCAATTATTTATTTTCACGTTGTACCAAGTTGAATTTCTGGAGGTGTTGCAAGTATGTTCAACCATTTTTAAATGTTATTTTTCGAAAAGTATTGCTCCTGTAAGGAATATTCTGTTCTAGGGCATCTTTTCAATCCCATTGTATCTCTACTTGGGCACA